CCGGCACGTGTCATGTGGGTATCTTGAGGAAAGGCTTTGGGAGTGGCAAAAACACGTTCAAGGTCCTCCTCCTGGGGTTGTGTTTGAGAAACACCCACAACACCAGTGTGGCTGGAGCCCAATAAGCCAAAAGTGCAAGGGAGGCTGCTGGAGGAGAAGCAGTGGCACATATTACTTAACACGATTCAGTGGTTTTAGGCCTACATATATCAAAATTAAGTACTTAGATGTCCAAGTCTATTTCTGACACTTGCATCGTATTCCATCTCTTCTTGTGTCAATAATATATTCTCCTCTTCCTTTAGCTCATAGTTAATAGTCAGTATTTATAGCTAGACAGTTATGTGACTTGGTGTACTTCCATTTTATACTTATTTTGGTTTTATCATATATTATTTTATATAAAAATTATAACAATTAATGAAAATTCCTCTTTACCTAGTTCACAGACCAAATCACAAATCTGGCTAACTAAATTCTGATAAATTTAAACTAGTATAGCACTAAATGAGAGAATTCAAAAATATTTTTTAGTATCAATTCACACACACACACACACACACACACACACACACTGAGGATCTAATCTCAGAGCACTTTACCACTGAGGTACATTCCCCAGCCCTTTTTATTTTTTATTTTGAGAAAGAGTCTAAGTTGGTATTGACCTTGAGATCCTCCTGTCTCAGCCTTCTGATTCACTGAGATTACAGGCATGCACCACTGTGCTGGGCTTCTATTCATATTTTTGACAGTCAGATTTTTCCAAAAATATATGGACAGATTATTTAAAATGCATTCACTTTGTTTTTGTGAATGATACTTTATACCTTTAATTCTGTAGATGTTTTTCCCTGCTGTGGTACTTCCGAACCATTTACTGACTGCATTCAAACTAATATTCTTCCCATATTTTTTATTGGTATATTATAATTATACATAATGGTGGGACTTACTATTACACGTTCATATGTACACACAATTTAACAATGTGATTTGGTCAATGTCATGGTTTGAATATGAGGTGTCATCCAAAAACTGTTAATGTAGGAGGTTGAAATGATTAGATTATGAGAACTGGAACCTAATCAGTCCATTCTGGTTTCAGTGGACTAACTGGGTGATAACTCTAGGCAGGTGGGGTATGGCTGGAAGGGCAGGTCAATGGGTGCATGCTCTGGAAGTGTCCATCTTCTGTGAGTCCCCTTCCACTCTCTGTTTCCTGGCTACCATGAGCAGCTCCCCTCTGCCATTCTATTCCACCATGGTGTTTTGCCTCATCTTGGCCCAGAGCAATGGAGCCAGTCGACCATGGACTAAACCTCTGAAACTGTGAGCCAAAATAGACTTCCTTCTCTAAGTTGTCCTTTTCATGTATTTCAGCAGCAACAACAATGACAACAACAAAAGCTAACCTAGTCAAAGCTGCCAATATTTCCTTCCTCCCCTACACTCTCCCCGCAGGTCCCTTTCCTTCCTCTAGTGTTTCCCTTTGATCACCATAAGACAGTGCCATCCACCTTTCTTTTCATTTGCCCTCTCCAGCTTTCACATAAGAGAGAAAACCTACAACTCTCAACTTCCTGAATTAGGTTAGTTTCACTTAACATAATGCTCTCAAGTTCCATTTATTTACCTGCAAATGACATTAATTTCATTCTTCTTTATGGCTGGATAAAACTCCATTGTATGTATGAATGTGCATATACGTGTGTGTGTGTCTGTATATTTTCTTTATCCATCCAATGATGAACATCTGATCTTCCATAATTTGACTACTGTGAATTGTGTTGCTATACACATGGTATGCATGTATCACTATAGCATGATGACTTTTAATTCTTTAGGATAAATGCCAAGGATTTATATAGCTAGGTTATAAAGTGGTTCGATTCCTTGACTTTTGAGGAAAATCCACAAGGATTTCTGTAATGGTTGTACTAACTTAAAATCCCACCAAAAGTATAAAAATATTTCCCCCCTTATCTTCTCAAATATTTATTACTGTCAAACCTAAATTTTATTAAAGGAGTTGTGGTTAGAGCCAAAGGAAATATACTTAGCCTCCAACAGTTTAAGGTTAAACTTAAAAGAAAGGAAGCTAGCACCTCATCTTAGTTTGATCCTTGCTATACAAAAAGATAAAAAATAAAAAACATAATCCTGCTATGAGAACAAAATATCTTCTCAATTCTAAGCATTCTATTGGTGTTTGAAACTTTATTACTTTTTGTCCTTACAATGATTAATTTCTGCACTTTAAAAACAAGTATTTTAGCAAAATATCTTGATTTGTCATGACATCAGAGATGATTTAAGACTGTTAGAAGAGTACACTTAAAAAATGAAAACTCTGTTGAATGTGCATACACTGTAAATTTATATAATATATAAGTGTGTTGAAAATGAACCCCCCAAAATAATAGTTCTATTCAAAAGATAAAATTAGTAACATAGTACAAATAAGAACAAAAAACTGGAAATGTTAAACTATAATAATTTCTATAAAAAACACACATTAAATTGTATGAGAAAAATATAAAGGATCTACGTCTATCCCCATAACACCCATGCAATAAACACACCTCAATGTGGGACACAGCTCAGTGCTAGAGTGCTTATGTAGCATGTGCAAGGGTGTGTGTTTGATCCCCAGCACTTCCCCCTCAAAAACCAAACAGAGCTAATATATATAATATAAACAGAGATTAAATAAATAAACCTGAATAACATATATCTAATAATAAGAAGAAAGACCACAAACAGCATCTTTAAACATGGAAAAAAGGCAAAACTAAGTAAGTTACTAAAGAAAAATAACACGAAGGAAGAAAAGCATGTCAAAACGCAGGCTGCAAAACTATTGTCTGTAATGTCTTGGAGGACATATTCAAAGAAAGAGGGCTGGGTATACCTCAGTTGGTGGAGTGCTTATCCTGCATGTACAAGGCCCTGGGTTCAATCCCCAGCACCACCAAAAACAAAATAACAACAAAAAAAGAGTTATCAAGTCAGTAAGGTGTGGAATAAGTATGGCAAGTAGGGGCAAAAAACATGGTTTATCATCATGTAAAAAATAAAATATTGACATACTGACAGTGTTAGATTTTAGTCTGGTATGCTTAGTAATGCTGCAATAAAAACTATGAACTATTGCTAAACAGTTCTAGAGAGCAGCTAGTAAAAGTAGAAAATCCCAAGTGCTTTAGAATTCAAGAAACCATTTTTAAAAAGGCACTATGTAACAGAGAACAGACAAAGTCATTTTAAAAAGCAAGGTTAAAGTGATTTCTGTAAAGAGATAATAATACTACAAAGCTACTAAGAAAAAAAGTGTGATGTTGACACTGTGACATAAAAAGTAGGTTGAACAATGAATGGGACAGAATACAGAGCTCACAAAGAAGCACATGGTTGATCTTGATTTTTGACCATAGTGTTGGTAAAGAGCATTAAAAGGTAGCTTTTAAGTAAATTGTTCTATGGCAACGGACTACCCAAAATATAAACTTACCACATGTTCTACAGAATATGCAAAAAGTCATTTTGGCCAGATAAAACTTAACTGGGAAGATAAAAATTAGACCACTTAAAAGTTAATAGAAGAGAATACATTTGCAACATGTGTACAGCAGATTTCTTAGACCGAAGATACAAGGTACTTGTATTATATAAAGACATATATAATAAATCTGACTAAATTAAAGTTCACGGTTGTTACTATCATACTAAACCATAACAACTGAAATAGGAAGTTACACAGTTTGAAACTATAAATGTCAATGTACAAGTAAATGCTTGAACTTAGTAAATAATCCCACAAATCAGTGAGAGAAAAATCTGAACTCAAAAAAGTGCAAAGCTTGCCTGCACGGAATGCCAACAGTACTCTTCTTTTAAAATGTAGATTCTAACTTAACGGTAATCAGCAAAATGTAAATTTTTTAAAAATCTCATCGGATTGGAAAAATCTGCTGAGGGTTTACATCGCCCTGAAAGGTTAATAATCTTGAGAACTGTTTGCTAATCTTGTTCCCAGCATGCGCTGTCCCCAACTGCCAAACTGCAGAATGTATCCCCTCACCCGTTGCAGGCAAACCGCCCACTCGCCCTGACCCGCCAATGAACTTCCCTCCCTGCCCTCTCCAAGGAAAGTATATAAGCTCTGCTTAAGCTGTTCTCAGGGCTCTTTGCTCTATTCAAGTGAGCTCTGAGCCCCAGCATGCTGGACCCCAATAAACCCTTTGCTGTTGCATGAGACAGTCTCTTGGTGGTCTCTTCCTCCGACGCTCGCCTGACCTTTACAGCCCAAGGTTTCTAAAGCTGTAGAACTAAGCAAAAAATCACAAACTACTAGTGGGCGTCTTCGTTTGTGAAATTTTGGGAAAACCTGGGGGGAAAAACCTAGCGTTAACCCTCTGACCACTTGTGGGAAAGGAGTTCCTACCTTCGACACCGCCCACGGAGTCGGCTTCGCAGCCCGGCAACCGCGGCCGGGGGCTAGGGACAGCGCTGACACCGCGCGTGGCCCACGGAGGGACAACACCCAAAGGCCTTCGGCGGACACGCAACGACATTTTATTCATCCAAGGAATAAAATGACAACGAGCGACACGTACAGACGTGCCCCGGGGCGCGGGTGCAGACGAACAGAGCAGAAAGGTTAAGGGGACACCGTAATCGCCCGCCGCCTGGGGACCGCTGGGGCGGCCGCGGCCCGCGGGACTCGCTCCCGGCCCGACACCAGCCCCGCGGCGGCCGACGGCGCAGCGCGGGACGCTCCCGCGCGTTTCCAACTCGCGAGAACCCAGCGGGACAAGAGGCGTCAGGGCGGGACCCGGCGGGCACGGGCGCGCGCGGAAACGCGAACCGCCGACCTCCGGGGCCGCCTTACCCGGGCCGGGCCCCGCGGCGCGGCCGCCGCCATCGGACTCTGCGCCCCTCCTCGGCCGGCGCGGTCGCGTCCAGCCAGCGAGCGTTAGGACCGCGCCTTCTCGCCGTTAATTTGAGCCCGAGCCCGAGCCCGAGTCTCCAGCGAGCGCGCGTGGCCCCGAGGAGGACGCCGGAAGTCCCGCCCAGGAGCGCTCCACCTGGCGGAAACGCCCCTCCCCCAGGCCCCCCTTGGCCCAACGCCACGAACGTGTCTCGCGCAGTGGCGTCTGGGTAATACCGTTCCCGCGGCGCCCTGGGCTCTGGCCAGGGTCCCTCTCCAGACCTTTGGGCTTTGGCACTGGCCACGGTCGGGGCCTGGGAAGTTGTGTCCTCAGGCCTTGCTGACGGAGCAGGGTGAAAACCAAACAGGCCTTGACAGGAAAGGAGAAAGGGACGTGGAGGGACAGAAAGCAGCTCTGGCTTCGTCGGAAATGAGGCACAGCCAGAGTGTGTCCTCCTGGGAGCGACCCCGACGGACGGACGGACGGACACTCCATATCCTGAGGCATATTCAGTTACCGTTGTTTTTTACGATGTGAGGCTTACCTGCCAGTTTTGTCCAGGACTGCTACACAGCCAGGCCCATTTAGAAAGGAAGCACCGAACCTTAGATCGCTAGGAGCTGGGCACCGTGGAACACACGAGAACATGGCGCTCACAGGCTGAGGGAAGAGGATTGCAAGTGTGAGGCAGCTTAGCAACTAACCCAGGCCCTCTCTCCAAGAAAAAAGAGTATGTATCAGAGTGGTAAAGCCCCTGAGTTCATTCCCCGATTTAAAAATATATATATATTAAGAGTTTATTTGCATAAAGAAGGATTTGTGAATCGGACAGTGCTGCCCCGGACCTGCGTGGGTAGCTGGATTTAAGATCACCCTGTGAACTGCAGGGGCACCAAGTAAGACACAGACACGATTTACCCTACACAAGCTTCAGGACAGGTTCCCTGCTCTCTCCTCAGGCTCCCCAAGAGGGAGAGCAAGACAAAGGGGGGGAGAGGGAGGGAGAGAAAGCGGGGAGGAGAGAAACACGTTGGGAAATGAGCTTTTATTGGGGGGGACTCTTATTCTTAGAAAGTTCTATCCAGAAAAGGGAAGAAGGGGCAGGGATACAAGGGACGGGTCAGTGTAACGCAACCCTGGGGGCACATCCCAAAAAGAAGACCATCGTACTATCCGGGCTAGACCCCGCCCAAACCAGAGCAAATGCAGTGGTTGGTCAGAATCTGCGGCATCAGGCCTGGAAGAGTGTGGGCATTCTTTGTGGCTCCCCACAGGGCAACACTCAAAAGTTGAGAAAGATCCAGTGCGCACTGCCCACTTTCCACATGAGTGGAAAGTTTTATACCCAAGAAGAGCAAAGACCTCATTAGAATTGCTATAGCTAGGTATTGCCTTATTTGGGTATGTTAAGATGAGGCATTTGCTTTATTTGAATGTAGTTTGAAGGAGGTCCTTAGTTGTATAACCAGTAACTGATTGCCTATTGTGACAGCCTGATGCTCGTTTTAGTTTGTTTCTTTTAAGTTAGTTACAAGAAACATTTTCAGGTTAAATTCAGGCTTGCTTATGTAACAGCAGAGACTATCTCGTTAAAAAGATCCTCAAATTAACAGCCTCTTTAATTATTTAGTGAGATATTACTTGTTGGAGATGCATTACCATTGCATATTTCAGTCTCTATCCCTTACCATCCAGGTCTCCTTTTGTAGGCAGAGCACCAAATCCCTCCTATAGTAGGTCTCCTCCTTTCTAGAGGGAGAGCTCTGCTCTCCAGTCTCAGCTCTCCCTTTTTCACCACAGGGCCTATCTGAAATTACAATTTTTGAATCCTTCCTAAACCTGATATCTATGGCATGCCCTGGTGTGTTTCCTATTCTCCACACTTTCAAAGCTCCAACTCAGTCCACTTTAACTCCAAACCTTAATGACCACTGGTCAATGAAGTAACATCTATGACTTGAAATGTCAGAGAATCGCCATGCTCCAAACTCAGTTCTCCAAAACCTGCTCCATTTTCTCAGATGTTAAGGCAAAAAATATGGGCTGGGCCTTCACTCCCCACTTTCTCAGTTACATTTGATGTTTCAGGAAATCTGTAGGCTCTAGTTTTCCAAGATCTCTATCTGAGATCTTATGATGTATCCCGTCTTTCCACTCCACCAGTTCTACTTCAACCAATATTCCCCTGGAGGTTTTGCAGTGGCCTCAAAGGTCTCTCTGCCTATCTTCTGGCCATAAGGACCAGATCTGCATAGAACTTAGCAGGCACCCCTCCACCCAGGTTTTAGCATTGTGTGTGGGGGTTCAAGAGTGCCTGGGGAAGCACTCCCTCCCTCGTACCACCTCACGAGATGGACCTCCATCAGCTGAGCCAGGGAAGAGCCAGAAGATGGGGCAAGTGATCAAGATGGGGACAAGGACATTGGAGTCCCCAGCCTGGCTCAATTGAACCTCACACTCATCCCAGGGCAGGGGGACAACAGCCTTTTCTTCCACTTTCTTGCTTCATCACCTCAGTCTAAGCCAAAGTCCCTGAACAGGTTTAAAGCAAGAGAAAAGCCTAAGACTGCTGCAGGTGCAGTAAGTCCTGTGTTCACTGATTCACATGCGCAGCAGCACTCCCTCCTGTTTTCTGCCACAGTCTTCTGGATAAGTTTCCAGCCTCTGCCTCAAGCTTCTGAGACTTGTTGGGTAGTTACCTGGTGATTATAGGTCCAATGCCCAGGAAAGGGCTCCAAGAAATGAAATTCTGGGAATCCAAACGGGGCAGGACTCCACTTCCTCATAACCCATTAAGCCCCAAATATTCAATTCTGTAAATATTTCAAAGAAATCAGTAGGGGTACATTTTTACTGATTTTCCTGTAGTACAACTAGCATTTTCTTCATAATTACATGGGTAGTTCATTGACTATCCAGTGCGATGATTATGTGTCCCCTAAAGTTCCATGTGTTATGTGCTCGATTACCGATTTGTGGCCCCTACTAGAGGATGACTAATCTCTAAAAATCAAGAGCTAGTGGGAGGAAGTTATGTTATGTGGGTGTTCCCTTGAAGGGGTTATTGGAACCCCAACCTGTCCCCTTCTTGCTCCCTGGCTGCCGTGAAGTGGCTTCCTCTGCCACACTCCCCTCATGATATACTTGTCACAAGCCCAAAAGCAATGGCCAAGTGAATGTGGACTGAAACCTCCAAAATTCTTTTTTTAAAATTGGGGATCGAACCCAGGAGTGCTTCACCACTGAGCCACATCCCCAGCCCTTTTTTATTTAGAGACAGGGCCTCACTAAGTTGTTGAGGCTGGCTTTGAACTTGTAATCCTCTCGCCTCAGCCTCCCAAGTTGCTGGGATTGCAGACATGCACCACCGTGCCTGGCAAACTTCCTAAATCGATTTTACTGTTATTTATTACAGTAATGAGAAGCTGACACAGCAACAAAATGAAAAGCACAGGAATAAACCTTCATGTTTATGCAGATATGTGATGAAAGTGCAGAAAGGACTGATTTGGGAAAGGAGTCTTTTGAAGAAAGTGTTCAAAAGCTAGATAGTCACATGCAAAAGAATGGACAACAAGGAGCTGGGAATGTGGCTCTGTGGCAGAGTGCTTGTCTGGCATGTGTGAGACTCTGGATTTCATCCCCAACATTGAGAAAGTGAGAGGGAAGAGAAAAGAGGATTAAAAGAATTGAATATACATTTCTCTAAAGAACATTGAGCAAGAGGTAGATAAAAAATGTTCATCAGTAATCATTAGGGAAATGCAAATCAAAGTGACAATGAAATACCTCACATCCATTTAAATAACTATTTAAAAAGAGAAAGAATTGTGGTGTGAAAAATCAGAACACTTGTACTATTTATGAGACTCCAAAATGGTACACCTGCTATGAAAACCATGTCTCATATCCTATGAAACAGCAATTCCATGTCTGCCTCTACACCAAAAAAAAGAATTTAAAGCAGAGGGGTAGGAATGTGGCTCAGTGGTAGAATGTCTGACTGGCACTTGTGAGGCCCTAGGTTTGATTCCCAGCAACACCCTCAAATATATATGTAAATTTTTAAAAAGCAAAACCTCAAATCTTTATATACTCAAGGGAGTCATTATCCTCCATAGCAAATACATGAAATGAATGCAAAGAAATTCTCATTATGTATAGATAAAGTGTTATATATGGGATTTTATTCAGCTTTAAAAAGGAAATTCTAATCCTTTGAAGATGGGTAAAATGAGGCACAAAATAATAAGATTCAAAACAATTTTCCTTAGAGAGAGTACTAATGAAGTTCAGAGTGCTATCAGGGGCTGGGTGTAATGGAAAATAAGTTGTTAATAAAGGACATAGAGTTTTCCCTATCTTGTAAGATGAAAAGACTTGGGCTGGGGATGTGGCTCAAGCGGTAGCGTGTTCGCCTGGCATGTGTGCGGCCCGGGTTCGATCCTCAGCACCACATACAAACAAAGATGTTGTGTTCGCCGAGAACTAAAAAATAAATATTAAAAAAAATTCTCTCTCTCTCTTTCTAAAAAAAAAGATGAAAAGACTTCTGAACATTCATTGCACAATGTGGACAATTACTGAACTGTACACTTTAACATTGTAATGATGATAAATTTTGTTGTCAGCATTTTAGAATTTTAAAAAAACTACTTCCCAATTATAAATCAGAGCATATTTCTGTCTGAAGTTTTTCTACATTTACTTGTAAGTTCTTTATCTGATGTGAATGTTTTGGAGCTGAATGAGATGGGAGTTTTGGTTAAACACTTTCCCACATTCACGGCACTCATAAGGCCTTTCTCCGATGTGAATTCTCGTATGTTTAATGAGGCTTGAGTTATATCTAAAACTTTCCCACATTCATTGCACTCAGAAGGATTTTCTCCAGCATGAACTCTCTGATGACTAAGAACTGTGGAATTGTTCGTAAAGAATTTCTCACATTTGCTGCACTCATAATTTCTTTCTCTAATGTGAACATTTTGGTGCCGAATGAGGTGGGAATTTTGGCTAAAACCTTTCCCACATTTGTTGCACTCATAAGGCTTTTCTCTAATGTGATTTCTCCAGTGTCTAATTTGATTTGAGTTGTGGCTAAAGAATTTCCCACATTCACTACACTCATAAAGCCTTTCTCCACTATGAACTCTCTGATGTGTATCAAGTGTGGAGTGATATCTAAAAAATTTTCCACACTTGCTACATTCATAAGGTCTTTCTCCAGTGTGAACTCTCTGATGACTATTCGGTGTGAAGTGTCCATAAAAATCTTCCCACATTCACTGCATTCATAAGGCCTTTCTCCAGAATGAAGCCTCCGATGTCTACTCCGTGTGAAGCAATATCTAAAGAACTTCCCACATTCACTGCATTTGTAAGGTTTTTAACCATGTGAACTCTCTGATGAATAATAAGTGTGGAGCTGTCCATAAAGAATTTCCACATTTGTTGCATTCATAAGGCCCTTCTCCAGTATGAACTTTCTGATGTCTAATGAGGATGGAGTAGTATCTAAACAGTTTTCCACATTCCCTGCACTCAAAGGGCCTCTCTCCAGTGTGTATTCTCTGATGAATGGTAAGTGTGGAGCTGTACATAAAGAATTTCTCACATGCACTACAACAATAAGGCTTTTCTCCAGTGTGAACTTTCTGATGTCTAATAAGTGTGGAATGTAACATAAAGACATTCCCACATTGACTGCACTCATAAGGCCTTTCTCCAGTATGGATCTTCTGGTCACCAATAAGGTACGACTGTGTAATAAAAGCCTTCCCACTTTGACTGCATTCAAAAGGCCTTGGCCTGGAAATTCTCTAGTGCTCCATGAGGTCAGATCTTTTTATAAAGAAATTTCTGGTGCTAAATAAGGTGGGACTTTCTAACGAAGGATTTCCCACATTCAGTGAACTCATAAGGCCTTTCTCCAATGTGAATTTGCTGGTGCTCAACAACATTATATTTGAGACTGAAGGATTTCCCATATTCACTACACTTGTAAGGCTTTTCTCTAGTATGATTTTGCTAATGCTTAATAAGGCGGAAGTTGTACCTAAAAAATTTTCCGCATTCACTGCATTCATAAGGCCTCTCCCCAGTGTGGATTTTTTGGTGCTCAAAAAACATAAGTTGGTGGCAAAAGTCTTTCCAACATAATTGCAGCCATAATCATTTTGTCCATTTTGAAAGGCCTCCTTGTCCTGGGTGTCCCGAGGGGGCTAACTGTTGAGAGCCACAGCCGAAGGAGCCCCAGCAAACTTCCAGCTGATTGGCTCACTGTGGCCCCAGCAAACTTCCAGCTGCCAGCTGATTGGTTCCTCTGCAGTGATGCTCATTGGGCTGTTTCTCCGCCCTTTCAGACCACGGAGCTGCTCATTGGGGGACTCTTTTGGCTCTGCCCACGTGACCCAGCCAATCGGCCTCAAGAGCAGGAGGAGTGGGGGGGGGGGTTGAGAGGCTTGTGGGAAGCAGGTGGTGGCAGTTGGGCTCTGAGGAAATTCCTGAAGAGCTGGAGTGGTGCAGCATGTGTTGTAAAAATAAAGTTTGTTTCTGCTTGATAAGTGGCTCGGAATTGTGCCCAGCCAGACTGCGGCAGCTAACCACTGTGAAGAGCTTTTTTCTGAAAAAGATCGAAATTGGCAGTAAAGTCTTTTCCATCCTCCCTGCTTGTGAAGGTCCTCTCTGCTATGTGAACTCCATGGTTCTTCCACAGTGATTTGATCTAAGCAGCTGCTGTTGGTGCTGGTAAAGCTCTGCCAAACACTTAACAACTTATGTTCAGGATGTGTTCCACTGCTGTGCACAGTCAGATGCAAAATGTCTTCCAAAAGTGAGCTGCATGTCTCACAGGGCTTCTGAATGGATGTTCCTACAGATACACCTTGCTCAGAAGGAATCTCCTTATCTACAGCTCCATGCCAACAACCTGTAAGAAAAGATATACTAATAATAGGCAGGATCACTTTAGTTGAAACAGGCAGAACCATAGTAAATTTCGGATACACACACAGATTGGTCCAGGGGATTACTGACATAAATTAAACACTAAAGTCGATGAGTGAAAGACCTGCTGGACAGAGTTGGGCCCAGCACATTCCCACCACCAGAGAGCCCTACAATAGGTAAAAATGCAAGGAGGGATAAAGAATAGGGAGGAGGGTCAGCCCTCAACTGACTGCTCTTCAAATGGCCTTAAATGAGGCTATGGATACCGATAACTGGTGAGCAGCTATAGAAAGTCGTGTCCAGACCCAGGGATATAGCTGACTTATGTAAGAGTGGCTGGTGTATAAGATCTCAAAACACCTTGAGTCAAATGCTAAGAGAACCAGAAAGAGTTAAAAAGAAGAGATTTGGCAAGAGGTGAAGGCCAGAGATGTGAAGAACTAGGGGCCATAAGTAAGAGGGGGAAATGAAATGGGGAGGAGAAGTAGAAACAAATATGTCACAGGCAAGGGCATAAAACTGAGCTGGCCTACAAGTATGATCTGCATTCAGTTCTCATCAATCTTCTTCCCAGCTCCTACCCGCCAGGGCTATGATGGTTGAACTTCTCTTGTCATTGTGGAGTAAATCCTGGCATTCCACCCTGACAGGACCCAGGCACTGTCCCGTGCTTAAGGTGAGCAACTACCTAAGCCTGGCCTTGGCCAGTTCTAGATGAAAGAGGAAAAGGGAAAAGCCAGCGTATACCTAGAGCATATAACCCAGAATATTCTCCATCTAAAATTATAAGGATTTCCATTGGAGAGTCCTGCAGAAATGACTCGCTAATCCTCACATGTAGTGACCAGGTAAATGCCTGAAATTCCTGGCATTGGCAGGCCCTAAGCATGCCAGCAACATGAAAGGAGGGAAGGCACAATTTTCATACACCTGAAGAGTAACCTGACCAGGAACAGGCAAGGTTGCTGGGTTCTCTTAAAACATTTCTGACTTCTGAGCATTAAAAGCTAGAGTAGCAGGGGAGACTATTTGGGCAGAAGTGGATACAGTGCACAGAACCAACCTCTGGCTCCCACAATAGTCTGGTAGGAAACCAAGGAAGGAGACAGCACCCATGGCCTGGTGTGGCAAAGACAGAACTTAAGATCAGCTCTGTCTGGGGGGGGGGGGAGCGCCCACCTCAGGCACTGGCTGAGGGACTTACCTGGTGAGGACAAATGTGCAAAGTTCTCCAGCATCACGTCATGGTACAGGTGCCTCTGAGCCTCACTAAGGAGTTCCCACTCCTCCTGGGAGAAATATATGGTCACATCCTCAGAGACCACATGGACCTGCCAAAATTATGACATCAATTATGAGCAGCTTCCTGTTCTGTGTTTCCAAATTTGTATATATTTGTTCTGCATCTATTAATTGTAGGGCCAAATGGCCAAATTTGTTTCCAGTTCCACTGGGATCCAGTCCATATTTTGAACCACTTCCTTACTTGGCGCACACATCAATATTTCCCTACACTAAATCAACCTGATGCCTGGAACCTTATAACCAGGGATAGTCCCTATGCCCCAAAGCTTGCCAGACTAGTCAAATTGGACAATCTTAAAACCGTTTCACTCTGCCCTGCCTTGCCTTTCCTGCCAAGACCCTCATGGAGCTTCTGAGGCATCCTTTCTCTCAACCCTGCATCTGCCTATAGACCACATCTACTGCTTCCCTTCTGGCCTTTGTTGCATGGTACATCCTTAGCACTGGAGAAATATAAGAAATAAATTTCCTTTCAATATCATTAGCTATCATTCAAATTCACAAAATTAAAATTTTGTGGGTGCAAACAATGATGCATTTCCTCTCCAGGATCTTCTGGCTTCCCCCTTTGCAACCCACATATCCATTCCCTACTAAGCCTCTAGCCCACCCCAATGAGGAAGAAGTAACAGGTTCTGGTGGTCCTGCGGCCTGCTTTTCCCTCATTTCCACTGATTAGGACAAAGAGGTGTGAAAGAGGGAAGAAAAGCTTCATCACAGCCTGCTAAGTGGGGCCCTAACCCTCCTATATCAGCCAGTCTCCTTGGGATCCTCCATTCTTGTCTTCCAGAGAATCAAATTTAGGCTCATTTCTCTCCCTTAAGTGCCTGGAGGGCCATCCATTCACAATCCTGACTGCACACCACCCTGGATGGCACCTCCCTCACATCTCCAGTTCCTCCACCCATTTCATCCACTCTTTCAGTCTGCACCACAGGCATTTATATGTGACCTCCCAACACAGCACTCTGTACATGGAATCAAGGAGGCACGTGACAGATGCAACAAAAATCCTAGCTGCACATGTAATGACCAAAATGTCAAGCTTCCCTAGTGCTTGGAGCAGCCCCAACCCCTGCTCTAAAGGTCTCCAATTTTGCCCTGCTTCTTGCTTTAAATTCAATTACCAAACCTACATGACAACTTCACAGTTCTCCCTCACCTCCACTGAATACCAGATCTGGGATGTCCTCTGATTTACACCGCACATGCTGTCCCATTAACAGTATGACCTTCTGTGGGAAGCCATTCTCGCACGTGATTGGGCACCTCCCTGATTGGGTGTGAGGCATTCTGGCTAAACTGTGTCGTAACTAATCCCCACCCACTCTAGGTGCGAGAGCCCATCCGTGTGGGGGTGTGACTGACCATTGACCCTGAGACCAATCACTGACCCTGACCTTGGAATGCTGTCCCCCGCGACCTTCATCGGATGGAATTTTACCCTGAATTTCTTGTCCCCCAATAAAAGGCCACTCCCTGGCGTGCTCTCTCTCTCTCTCCTGCTAGTCCTGAGTAAGCCTCACTGCCCCACCGGGTGGCTCGAGGCAGGAGCCAGAGGGGAGAGCCGTCTCAGACCTGGTCAAAGAAAAAGGTAAATTGAGTTTTATGTGTTTATTTTGATCTCACTAGTTAACTTCTATGCTACGAGCCTCTAGTATGAAGCCAGCATGCTGGTCGCATGGTGGAACCTTCTCTCTCTACCTATCTCTAATCAAAGATCAGCTGCACTCAGCTCCACATTCTCACTCTAGGCTTAGCCATGTTTGTGGCTGATTCCGCTTTCCCTCAAAGTGATCTGATGGCCTAAAAGAAACTACCTAGTTTCTGGCATGGGCAGGCCCTAAGAATGCCAGCAACATAAATGGAGGGAAGGCACAGTTTTCATTCACCTGAATAGAAACCTGACCAGGAACAGGCAAGGTTCTTGGGTTATCTTAAATAAAATTTCTGACTCCTGAGCGTTAAAAGCTGGAGTGGCAGAGAAGGGAACTATTTAGGGAGAGGTGGGTACAGTACACAGAGCTAGCTATAGTCTGTAGGAAACCAGGTGAGTTAAAAGGGCTAAGAGGCAGACCATGGAAAATGGATACTAGTGGTTCTGCCCTGCCTGGAGCAAAGTGACCTAAGGCTAAGCTTAGCACCTTTGTGACTCTAGACAAGGACAGAACCTCCCCTCAGCCTCAGTGATCTTATCTGTAAAATGGGGATAAAAATGGTTTCCACACCATAAGGTTCATGTTGGCATAGTAGACATTGCTGCATTGGCAATTACAGTTTATAGATTAAAGGTCTATGTGTTTTCAGTGCAAAAGAAGTGGAAGAATTTTGAAAATTTGGATATTTCCCCTACTTTTTAAGATTAAGAAAACATGTAATATATAATACTTTTCTGTTTTTTTTTTAAAGAGAGAGAGAGAGAATTTTAATTTTTTTTTTTTTTTTTTTTTAGTTATCGGCGGACACAACATTTTGTTTGTATGTGGTGCTGAGGATCGAACCCGGGCCACATGCATGCCAGGTGAGCATGCTACCACTTGAGCCACATCCCCAGCCCTATATAACACTTTTCATTGTAAGCAAATACTTAAAGGTAAATGAACATCCCAACAATTATGAAGTACTTAAATATAACCTGTTGGTTGCATTAACTTCTGACTAGCTATGTATACACATGTAGAATATTGCTTAATTAGTGAATAAATATTTTATAAATTCTTAAGTTGTTGGGAGATGCTGAGCAGGCAGCTCAGTGATTGGTCCCTTCACCAACCAACTCTGTTACATTAATATTCTGAAGAATGTTTGCTGAGGTCCCGGGACTGGGGTAGATGATCAGAAAGTATGCCCAGGTCTGGTCCAATGTTCTGCTATCCCAACTTATATTTCCCTTGTTCACAGAGCAACCCTAGGGGTCTACGAAGCCTACAGGACACCATGTTTATAACAACTTACACCTCCACTCCCGGCATCTGTACTTCATCCAGGACTCTCTTTGTACAAACAGGATTCTTACTTCGGATGTGCTCCTGGGCTGGGGATATAGCTCAGTTGGTACAGTGCTTGCCTCATGTGCAAAAGCCCTGGGTTCAGTCCTCAGTACCACCAATCCATCCATCCATCAATCAATCTACTCCTTTCTGAAGGGAATTCAGGGATTCTTCTGCCTTCCTCATAGTGTACCTCCTAAGTCTGAGTCCTCACCTTCCTCATTAAAGAGCCCATGTGACATAAAACAAGATTTTTCCTTTTCAATCTGATCCGGAGGCCAAGCCCTGGTCCTACGCACATCTTCTAACCCTTTGAAAGTTCCAGATCTGCTACTTTCCCTGATTTTGGAACATCCTGTTCCATGGGATGTCTCCACCTGTGACATCTCAGAATCACCATATCCACAATCTACCTTATGACCACACTGAAAGAGGCTCCCCAACTCCATTCTTTCTGATTTTCAAGGCAAAATAAGAAAAAGAAAGAAAACCATGAGATGGACCGGACCTTTATTCCCTACTGCCCTTAGCCCTAGGGAATGTGGCAGGAATCCTGCACCCACTCCCTCTTCTGGCACACGGTTCACCTGGGGTCTTCCGCAGTGACCTCCTTATCACCACCCCACCTTCTCTCCCTTCCTTCCCACCCCACTGTAAACCTCCCACCTGGGCAGGCCGCCGTGGAACTGACCCACCTCCCGGCCAGCCTTCCAGGGCTCCCAGCCAGCTCCCCGCTCCCTGCAGGGCTGCCCACTGGGCAGCGCCGACAGCCTTTACGCACACGCCTTGTCACAGGCTGGAACCCGACCCCGCAGGAGCCCCGGGTGTGGACAGGGGCCTGGCCCCGGGACGCACCCCCCACCGAGTGGAGCTCCTGGGCAGCCAAGGGTGCCCCGCCCAGGGCAGCAGGCACGAGGCCGGTCCTCCACCTCGGGACCCAGGAAGGCGCCCCCACGCAGCGCGCCCCCAGCGACCCGAGCTGGGCCTCCTGGCACCGCAGTGTGGGGGAAAGCGGCCCCTAGGCCTCTGCCCGCCCGCTCCCTAGGGCAGATCCCGCCTGACTCTTGGGGTGAAAGCCAGGCTGCGCTGGAGGCCTTGAGAAAGGGCCTCCGTTTGGGGGCTGGGCCTTAGCTCAGTGGCTGGGCCCTTGCCTAGCACGCGTGAGGCCCTGGGTTCGAGCCTCAGCGCCACCAAAGGAACAAATAAAACAAAGGTCTTCTGAACCGGGGGGTGTGGGGTGCGGATGGTACTGGGGATTGAACGCAAGGCGTTTTACTACATGCCACCACCCCAGTCCCTTTACTTTTTATTGAGACGAGGTCTTGCTGTATTGCTGAGGCTAACTTTGAACTCGGAATTCTTCTGCTTTCTGAGTCACTGGGATGTGGCTAGTTTACAATTTTTGACAATCCCTTCATATTTAACTGAACCTAAATATAACTTACTTAAGCTTTATTTTCCTATAGTAAGGAATGTTTTTGCTCAGAGCGATTGTCAAACATCAAGGCACGTTGCTATTTATTCCCCATGCACCTATAATGCATAGTGCAGCCCCTTGCTCCCTCTTAGAAAACTAGACGCTGGTTTTTGCACAAACATGGATAAATATTTTTAAATGCTATATCAGCATCCATACGAGAGTAACTGTAGGATCTCATTGACCTAAATTATTAGAAAATCTAAACTATAGCATTACAAATGTAGTTAGTGGTGGCCAGCGAGTGGTTCGTTCCTGTAATCCCAGTGGCTTTGGAGGCTGAGACAGGAGAATCCTGAGTTCAAAGCCAGCCTCAGCAAAGGTGAGGAGCTACGCAACTCAGTGAGACCCTGTCTCTAAGTAAAAATACAAAATAGGGCTGGGGATGTGGCTCAGTGGTGGACTGCCCCTGAGGTCAATCCCTGGTGCCAAAAGGAAAAAAAAAAGTTCATCCTTTTATTCTAGCAGAGACCAATTCTGTGCTAAACTAATAGCACACAGTAGCTACCTAAGACTTATGGTAGCTTATGAAATTATTACAAAAACTGGAGAGCAGGGAGGAGTTCATGGTATGGTTGACTTGGAGCTTGGAAAAATCCATCCTGGGAGTCACAAAATGACAAATAATGCCCTGGAGGAAAACTCGAACAATCTTCCAGTCAATACCAGCCCCTGTCTTTTGTCCAAAGCTGACATCCACAAACCAAACCAATCATGAAGGAAGGCATGAGGCCCAAAGGTGTCAAGTAATTGGTGAATCCTCCAGTTGAAATAAGAGAGCACGGCATGATGTCATATCTGAGCATTTTAATGTGACAAAGTTATTACACACTGTGGTTCTCTGCACATTGCTAGAGGGAAGACGACTTTTGTAAAAATGAAATAACTTTGACAAAAGTGCCAAACTCCGTAGTGCCACACAGTTCACAAAGTTTCCATATATGTGGCAACACAGCAAATAATACTAATGTGGACAGTAGGGGATCAATTGCTGACTACCTCCTTAGAGAACGAATCACTAGAGATTTGCTGTAATGAGTTATGTCGAACGAGGAAAGAATGCACTGCTTGTACTCCTAAGGCCTTTCTCCAGTGTGAATTTCCTGGTGTTGAATTAGGTCAGAAAAATGGCTAAAGAATTTTCCAACATCTACTGCATTTGTATGTGTATGTGTTGCTGAGAATTGAACCCAGGGCTTTGCACATGTTGCGTAACTGAGCTACATTCCCCTGCCCACTGCAATTTTAATACCTTTCTTGGTATGGATTGTTTTTTGAAACAAAGTTCACTTCATGGCAAGAAATAACATAATGTCACTTTAATATATATTAAAGGCAAAAGTATTTATTATTTACAGCTAGGAAAGAGAAAACTCAAGCAGGGCCCCACAGGGAATAGCATCATAGCAGCCACAGCAACCTGAAGTTGTAGGGGACAGTTTATATGAGACTACTGGATTGAATTAGCTGTTTCCCAGATTCCCTGTGAATGGGCTAATTTAAGTAATTGGATATAGATATAATTAGCTGCTCCAAAAGAGGAACTGACAAACTTCTAGCCTAGGCCTCCAAATGGATTCAGCATTATATTCATTAAAAAAAATTTAAAAGTATGTATCCAATTGTAATACTCTCATAAAGGTATATAGATCAATTGAACAGAATTCAGAAATAAACCCTGGCATATGTGGTCAAATGATTTTGAAAAGGGTTCTAAGCCTACTCAATAGGGAGAAAGGACAATCTTTTCCAATATATTGTGCTTAGAAAGCTATATACCCACATGGAACAGTATGAAGTTAGAGTTTGGCCTAATATTTTGTACCAAAATAAACCTAAGTCACACACAATGACACATATCTGTAGTCCCAGCTACTCCAAAGGCTGAGGTGGGAAGATCACTTGTGCCCAGGTGTTCAGCCTGGGCAACGTATCAAGACCCTGTCTCAAAAGAAGATCAAAGACATAAACATAAGGCTTTAGGGAAAATGCTTCATGACACTGAATTTGACAGTGATTTCTTGGTTATAACATCAAAAACACGGATAAAAATTAACTAGACTACATGACAATCAAAATTCCTTCAAACAACATCAAAGGACACAATCAACAAAACAAAAAGGTAACCTATGGATTGGGAGAAAATAGTTGAAAAGCATATATTTAGGATGGAATTAAAATCAAAAATGTTTAAAAAATTTCTACAGGTCTACAAAAAAAATCGAATAGCCCCATTAGAAAATGGGAAAATGACTTGAAAAGATATTTCTTCAGATGATATACAAATCTGAACAAGCACAGGAAAAGATGTGTCACTAATGGTTAGCAGTATAAAAGTAGAAAATGCAGGGCTCCACCTCACACCCAAGATAGCTGCTATAAAACAACAACAACAAAAACAATTCCAGAGAGAGAGAGAGAGAGAGAGAGAGAACTGAAGTATTGGCATACTGGCAAGGATATAGAAAATGAAACCCTTGCACTGTTGTAAAAACATAACTGGTGCAGGTAGTACGGAAAACAGTCCCTAAAAATATTTTATGATCCAAAATTTCCCCTTCTGAGCATATACTCTAATACCCAAACAGAACTGAAGTGGGGTTTCAAAAAGCTATGTATGTACATTTATGTTCATAACAGCACTTTCCCTAGTAGTCAAAAAGTAAAAGAAACCCAATGTCCATTAACCAATGAATAGATAAAGAAATGTGTTATGTACATACAATGGAATATTATTTCACTGGGGAAAAAGTCAGTGGGGTGAGGATTTCTGACACATGCTACAAATGGGTGAACCTTAAGAACATTATCCTAAGTGAAATAAGTGTTTCACAAAAAGATGAATGTTGTATGACTCTACTTATATAAGATGCTAATAGGTAACAAATCCATAGAACAGAGTATAGAAGAGTACTAGTCAGGGACACCAGGAAAGAGAATAGGGTATCACTTCTGCAAGATAAAAAGGTTTCTGAGATCAACTGCATTTGAAATATGAATTTACATAGCATTAACTGTCAATTTAAAATGGTCAATGGTAAATTTTCTTCATTGTGAAATTTCTAATGTTTAATAAAGCTGGAGCTGTACTTAAAGAAAGCCCCACACCTACAGGACAGACAAGCCTCTCTTCACTGTGGATTTTCTGGTGGTGAACCAGATGGGATTTCCTAATGAAGGCCTTCTGGCACTCACTGCATTCATAAGGTCTTTCTCCAGTGTGGATTTTCTGGTGCTCAACAAGTATATGTTTGTGGCTAAAGGCTTTCCCACATTCACTGCATTCGTAAGGCCTTTCTCCAGTATGATTTCTCCAATGTTTAATGAGGTTGGAGTTGTACCTAAAGAATTTTCCACATTGACTGCACTCATAAGGCCTTTCTCCAGTGTGAACTCTCTGGTGTCTAATGAGTCTGCAGTGGTACCTAAAGGATTTCCCACATTCACTGCACTTATAAGGCCTTTCTCCAGTGTGATTTCTCCAATGTTTAATGAGGTTAGAGTTGTACCTAAAGAATTCCCCACATATGCTACACTCATAAGGCCTTTCTCCAGTGTGAAGTCTCTGATGTCTAATGAGTGTGGAGTTGTACCTAAAGAATTTCCCACATTCACTGCACTTATAAGGCCTTTCCCCAGTGTGAACTCTCTGGTGTTTAATGAGTGTGGAGCTGTCCATAAAGAATTTCCCACATTCACTGCATTCATAAGGCCTTTCTCCAGTGTGAACTCTTTGATGTCTAAAAAATGTGGAACTGTACCTAAAGAATTTCCCACAAATGTCACACTCATAAGGCCTTTCTCCAGTGTGAACCCTCTTATGTCTCATGAGTCTATAGTTGTACATAAAGGATTTTCCACACTCTCTACATTCATAAGTCCTTTCTCCACTGTGAATCCTCTGATGTTTCACAAAGTTGGCATTGTACCTAAAGAATTTCCCACATTTGCTGCACTCATAAGGCCTTTCTCCTCTGTGGCTTTTGTGGTGCTCAAGCATTGAATGTTTGTATCTGAAGGCTTTCCCACATTGACTGCATATGTAATCATTGTGTCCACTCTGAAGGGCTTCCTTGCCCTCAGTTTCCCTGTCTGGCTTCCACCCACAGTGAGAGACTTGGTGCTGGAGAAGGCGTGAGGTGGCTGGCAATTCCTTCCAATCTTCCCTGCACGTGAGGGCCCCCTCTGCCATGTGAACTCCGTGGTTCTTCAAAAATGAAAGTTTCCAATTGTCCCTTCTGGAAAGATTCTTTTCAATCTGCTTTTGGGGCTGGTACGGCTCTGACTCACAAATATGTATCTTTTGTTCAGTTTGTGTTCTATTTTGTTCAGCCAGGTGCAGAATATCTTTCAAGAGTGGGTCACATGTCTCACTAGGCTGGGCATTCTGGGTGGATGAACCTGGCTTTGGAGTCCTGACCTGTGGTGCTCCTACAGAAACACCTTGCTCAGGAGCTGCCTTCTCAGCCTCGGCTCCATACCAACAACCTGTAAGGACAGAAATATGATGAAGTGCAAGTTGACTCTGATGACAGGGGGAGCCCCATCATAAATGTGTGTCAGACGTCCATGAATAAGTTCATGGCTTTGCTGACAGGAGGTGGATATAAAGCCAGTGAGGAAGGCCTGCAGCACAGAGCTGGGCCTGGCAAGCTTCCATGGTGGAAAGCTCTGACGATGGATAAAGACACAAAACGGGGCTATGGTGTAGGGGAAAGAAGCAGGCCCTCCAACCTACTGCTCCGCAAATGATTTCAACAGGCCATGGCTGTTTGTGACGGGTGAACAGTATGTAGGAGGCACGGCTGTTTGTGACTGTGAACATGTGTAGAAGGCTGTATCCAGACCTGGGGACACTATTGGTGACAGCATCAGGTGTTCAATGTGGAGATGCATGCAGACTTCACAACTCCTTAAGTAAAGCTCACGTGTTGGAGGGCCCTGCAAAGGGAACATTGGGGGGAATGGGTGAGAGGTGGAGGCCACAAAAGGTGGGGAGGGGATGTGTGGCACTAGTGGTAGACAAGGGCAGGACCTCAGAGTAGATATGACAATGGAGAAGAGAAGGTATAAATTGTGGCCTCTGGCCCTGGCATCAAACAATGGTGAGCTCAGGGAAGGTTCCCAGTGTGATCTGAACCCAGCTCTGACATCACCCTTTCTCAACTACCAGCCAACAGAACCAAACCCCTTTAAGACTCTATTACAATTGCTAAAGTAATATCCACCCTCTCAGGTACCCGGGGCTCTCCCTATCACTCAAGGTGAAAAATTGCATGAGACTTGGAAAAGGCTGGTCCCAGGGAAAAGAAGGAAACTGGACAGAGATCCACCCCATGACATCCCACATTCCACGATCATAAGCATGTCAGAGAACAGTCCTGCAGGATCAACCCCGTGGCCCCCGAATTAATGATCACTGCAGTGCCAGAATTCCTGTTCCAGGCCAGGCTATCTGTTCAAATATAACCTGGCAAGGGACAGGCAAGGTCAGCAGAATCTCTTGGATAAACTGGACATTTCTGACTTGAGTCTTTCTTGCAAGCCCTCAGAGCAGTGGGGGATGGGCTGCTAGGGTAGAACTGGAGCTGTGGACAGAGCCCCGGCCTGGCCCCCACAACATACCTGCTTGGAAATCAGGGAAGGAAGTAGACCCATGAACATACCAGGAAAACAGAGCTGCCCTTGGGTAACAGGGACAGGAGCCCAACCAAAGATACTGTGTAGAAGTGAGAGCCTTACCTAGTGAAGACAAAAGTGTCAAATTCTCCAGCATCACCTCACAGTACAGGAATCTCTGAGCCTCATCAAGGTGCCCCCACTCTTCCTGGGAGAAATATATGGCCACGTCCTCAAAGACCACACGACCCTGCCACAGTAGAAAAAGTTCAGTAGATGAGAGCCTTCTCTTCAAGCTGGGTTGTGTTACATTTTACATTGATCTATGTGGCACCCATTAATTACGGGGCTAAACTAACAGGTTTGTTTACATCTCCTAGGCCATGCTAAGTCCACATTCAGAGTGACCTCCTCATCTAACTCTCACAGATCAAGCCCATAGTCCCCTTGTCCTAAGTCAAACCAGGGCCAAACCCTGGTGCCCCAGGAATGCTGGAATTATTTAACACCCAAACTTAAGCTGGTCATCCTGCCCTGACTTGTCTTTTCCTTGGGAACCCCAATAATGACCATGGCCTAAACTTCCCCTTTGCTCCTGACTTATGCCTTCTGACCAATCAATTCTTTTATGTGGCCCTGCAACATGTGGCATGCACTGTTCTTGGGAAAATGTAAGGAATAAATTCCTTCTTTTATTGTCATTGGCATATACCTGTCGTCACTCATTCATATCCATAAAGTTACGCCCCATGGGTTCAATCACTGCTACACCTCTGTCCAGTTTCCAGTCCTTCCCCACAACCACTCACTACTAAATCTCCTCCACACCTCCCAAAGTAGAAGAGCAGCTCATTGTCATGATCCCCACTGTGTTTAGCACACAGAAAAACAGGCTGTGGGCCTGGTATACAGAACTCTATCCCCTCAAGCCAGCCAGTTTCCCTGGGCCCCCCAGATCTTGCTTCCCAGACAACCAAACTTGGACTCACCCCTCTCCCTCCTGTGCCCAGTTCAGGGCCTAGACTTAATCACTAACAATTCTCCAACATACACATCACTCTTTGAACTGCACTTTGATCACAGCTTCGGCTCCTCCACTACTACAGTTCCAGAGACACCTCCTGGACCACACCACAGATATTTCCATTACTCTGCAATAAGGAAACAAGGTAGCATAGAGCAAATACAACTAGCGACCAATTCGGCCCCAGTCCTGGAACATAACACCAGATTTCCCTAGCACCAGGGGTCGATCAAAGCCCTGCTGTGACGGTCTCCACTCTAGCCCCTTTTTCAACTTCACTCAGCCACCCAAGCCCATGCAGGGACCTCAAACCCTATGGCCATCCAGCTTCTGCACTGCATCTCTTGTCCCATAAGCAGTCATGACCATCTGCTCTCCACCGAAACTTCATTCAAAACCCAGCTGCACTGACCTTCAAACCTTCACCCAAACCCTCACCCCACCTCACCCCAATCAAGGCTCAGCAAGGTTATTGATCCCCTTCCCCCTTCCCCACAGTATCCATATCATGTTCACTTGCTCCTCATTCTGTCTTATTCCTCCACCCCGCTATCTCACACATACACTCTCACACTCCGAATCCTCATCGGTACTTCGTAACTCCAACCACTAGCATCTAAGCATCCCACTGAGAGATGCAGTTCGCAGTCCCCCTGACCCTCACTCCTTATCCTTAAACGGCATTACCACAATAACCTACAGACGCTGCCTTCTAGTTCTGACCCACAACTTCATTCTCAGTCCCACACCAGCCACCATGCTGTGCATGTCTCCAATATGGACTCCACCAGGAGCCACCACATCACTTTCTCTCTTTTTTAAATAAATGTGTATATTCGTGTGTGTGTGTGTGTGGTAGGTGGACACAATACCTTTATTTTATTTATTTTTATGTGATGCTGAGGATCAAATCTAGTGCCTCACACATGCCAAGCAAATGCTCCACCACTGAGCCACAACCCAGCCCCACTTATCACTTTCTATATTGTGAAATATGGGCAGCTCCAGTACAAAACATATTGCAAAGCCAGAGGGAGTCCTTTAAGTCTGAGTCATAACATGGCCCTCTTCTGCTTCAAATCTTCTTAGATCCCACCCCCCTGAAATAAGAGGAACAGAACCTGAGGCTGTCATTCTAGGCCTGATGTCTGTGCCTTTATCCACCCCTCTCCCTGCTCCCCACGCCTACCACACATAATAGAGATTTGCAGTTCCCTGAAAATGTCTGCTCTGTTTCACCTCCAAGCACTTGAATATTCTAGATCCCGTGCCTTGTACCTTACCCCATCAGCTGTCAAAAACAGGAATGACCCAAGACTAAATATAGGATATTGGACCTGGTGGAACCCATTCTTCAGACATGAAAGAGGGGAGAAGGGCAGAAAAATAGTCTCTTATATTGGGGTGCCAGAGCCATATGGGAGGTAACAGGGTGGTTGAAAGAGAACCCTCTACTCACCTGTGCAGGGTTCATTTCTGCCATTGCCAGGGGACCCTGAGGGAAGAGGGAGGTCATGAGAAATCACAATCACAGTAGAACCTACAGGTTGAGTTGGACCACCACCTCTCTGCCCGCCTTGGATCAAATTGACCTCAAGCTGATTTTATGAACTCAGCTTCTCAGACCTCAGTGCTCAGAGGGGTTTAACAGATCTGTGACTCTGGGAAAGAACTAAACCTCCCTGGGCTTCATCTCTAAATAGAGGAGAAGAATGGTTCCTACTTACAGGGGTCATATAGGTATCAAACATTTGACGCACACACTACATATCAGATAATCCTATCCATAGGATTGTTTTATAAGTTTTCAGTACAAATGAAGTACTATGGCTTTGAAATTGGATGCATCCTTTCAGCTTTTTTTTTTTTTTTGATGTTGTAGAGGATGTGATATGAAATTTTCCATAGTAAGCAAATAGAGATAAATTAATGTCAAACTAATCATGAAGTTTGCAGAACTTGCACTTACTGAGTAACTTCACTTTTATTTATTTATTTATTGAGACAGAGTCTCACTAAGTTGCTTACATCCTCACTAAGTTACTGAGGCTGGCTTTGAACTTGCAATCCTCATGCCTCAACCTCCCAAGTCACTGGGATTACAGGCATGCACGGTGGAACCCAGCTAAATGATTTCACTTCTAATTGCCTATATATATATATATAGAGAGAGAGAGAGAGAGAGAGAGAGAGAGAGATACTGGTTAATTAGTATTTAAATCAATAAGTAGTTCATACATTGTCAGAATACTGAGCTGTAGGAAGAGGCTGAACAGGCAAGTCAGCTACTTGTCCTTTCTGCAACCAGGACTGCTTACGTAACAGGGAAGAGAACTTGTTGGTGTCTCTTGACTACAACAGCAAATTATCCCCTCTTGCCTTAAAAAGTGAGGGAGGAAAAGAAGCAGTGTCCTGGTCTGGAGTCTATCTGCTACACTAGCCTACATGACCTTTCTTTTGTTTTACAGCGATCCTAAAGGTCAGCCAAGTCTTCAGGTGGAGAATACGAACAATCTAACATCTTGGTCTCCATCCCAGGCCAGCTCCAAGTTGCCAAGACTGTCCTCAAACTTGAATCCTCTTGCCCCATCCCGTCAGGTTGCTGGGATCATAGGCATGCAACACCTGCCCAGCCAAATCTCCTTTTTTGCATACATGGTCCAGAATCCCTCCTTAGCCAGGTTTGCAGCTCTCTGAAGAATCGGCACATGGTCTGCTTCATGTCTCAGCCAACCCCACAGAGCCCCCCTCCAGTCTTAAAACCTGAAGACTTCCTCACCCAACTGGGCCCTCAGGCCCTGGCCACACTTTCCATCCCTTTGATATTTCCGGCCCAGCCCTCTTCCTCACACTGTAGGCCCTTATGTCCCCCTATCTATCTGCTCTCTCCACCTTGAGACATAGGAGGAACATGGCTAAAATAATCCATGATCTTCTTCCTGAAACCTGTTCCCCCTCCTAACTCCCCCAGGAAACCCTTTAGGCTCTGTCTGTAAGATCTCTAAAACCTCATCACACTACTCCTATACGGGCACCATTCTTGTCAAGCACCTACCATAATATTCCTGGGGTCCATTGCTGTTACCTCACCAGTCCCTCTGCCTTAATTCCCCATCTTTTCTCTCTGTAAACTCCCTTTTTCTTTTCTTTCTTTCCTTTTTGGTACCGGGGATTGAACTCGGGGGCACTCACCACTGAGCCACACCCCAGCCCTATTTTGCTTTTCACTTGGAGTCAGGGGCTCACTCGGGTCCTGCCTCCGCCGGCCGCCCGGCTGCTCTCTCCTGACCTGCTTCCTCTGGACGCGCCCCTCCCATTGGCCCCGCCGACAACCGTCCGCGGCTGCCCCGCGGGAGGCCCTGCGCACCCTCCGTCCCACCTGCTCTCTGCCGGCCCACGCCGTTTCCCCAACGCTGCCGACTCGCTTACGAGGCGGGGACGGGGACGGGGACGTTTCCACGCCGGGTCACATGGCTGAACCTGACCCCACGTGAAGCACCTCTGCTCCGGACCGGCCCTGGCTGCCGGCTCCGGCACGCTGTCCGAGGCAGGTCGGGCACTCGGGCAGGGAGGCCGAGCTCAGGCCTCCGCCCGCCCAGCCGGGCAGCGGGGAGCGAGGCAGGGCTGGGGGAGGCCTTGGGTCGGAACAGTGCCGCCTTCGCCAGCCAGGATCAGCTCAGGCTCGTCTCCGGCTTCGGGTGTGGGCGCCAAACCTCTTGCGCTTTCCCGCTGTCACCGAGGTGACAACCAAGTCCTCCATCGGCCCGAAGGGATTAAGAAACCCAAGAGCAAACAAAAATGACTGCCGCCGGAAGTCCCGCCCTGCGCGTTGCGCACGCACGTCAATGACGCTGCGCAAGCTTTCATTGGGTCAGTCGCTGCGACCTCCGCTAGGACTTCTGGGTAATGGAGTTTGCACACCGCTGCCCGTCTCCTCTCAGTGATTTGGCCACGCCTTGTTTGCTAAAGGCGGGTGGCACTGGTGGGACCCTGAGAAGTGGGGTTCCAGTGCTGCAAAGATAGGAAACTTTTTCTTAAAGGCGACATATCAAGTTGTCTTGGAGTGTAGGAGTCTGACAGAAATTTTAGAAACCCATTATTTCAGACTCTGAAGCATAAGATCCTAAAAGACTGCTTATCTAAAGGGATACACTACGCCATAAAGGGGCTCCACATCCTCTAAAGTGTTTGGTTGTCTTGTTGCTTTTCAAATACATGTAGAGATAAGCTTTGGAGTTATTTCATAGTTTCAAGGGGGACGAAGTGTATATATACCTCAGTTGTGATGCATGTGCGGGACTGTAGGTTTAGTCTCCACCACTAATATAAAAATAATAACAGTAACAATAATCTTCCATACGTTTGGCCTAGGAGAAGAAAGAAACACTAGCAGTGGGAATGTGGAGGAGGGATGATAAGATGTACTGATGTGAATTGAAAGGGCAAAAGTGTGTTTGATTCCAAGAGCAAACATCCTTCCTGGCTGTACAGTCAGTGATTGTTTTCCTACCTAGGGAACAACAGTTTTATTCAAATAATGTATAATTATTTAATATCTAAAATAGTTTCAAGCTATTTTAATACTCTCAAAATAAAAGTGAGAGAACTGATCACTGTGCTATTTCCTTCCAAAACAATGTGGGCTGTTTGTGTAGTAGAAGCACATGTGCAAAGCATGAATATTAACCCCGAGAAAAGGTGTGAGATTCTATCATTTTATCTTGCTGAAAAGTGGTTTTCATTTCATTTTTAAATGCCACACTATCTGCACATTGTTAAAATTCGGAAAACACTTGTGAAATGGAAGTTACCAAGAGCCATTTTTAATGATTGAGTAGTTATTCAAAACCAGTTTTAGAGAATGATATCTATTCAGTATGACCAGCTCAGTAAAGTTGGAGAGAACTAAGTCCAAGAAATCAGAAAATTAAGCTGAGCCTGTTACTGTACAGAAACATTTGCCACACTCATGTTTTAATGTGATACCTCTTCTTCTCCTCTTCCCCTTCTCCTTGAACCTGTCTGTCTCCCCCAACCACATACTGAGGATTGAACTCTGGGCCACTTTACCACCTAAATATACCCCCAGTTCTTTTGAGACAGGGTCTTGCTAGGTTGCTGAGGCTGGTCTTGAACTTGCAATGCCTCAGCCTAGAAGGTCACTGGGATTACAGGCATGCACAGAATGCCTGGCTCTTTTTTCATTCTTCATTAATTGTTTGGTGGAAGAAGTGGATAATAAACTGAGAGACTTGTCACAGGTTAAAATGCAGTGATGAGTATTTACTGCTTTATCAAATGTAGTATGTAATGTTTCAGGCACAATAGTAGATGCACTGAACACATTGGGTGTAGGGTTTCCAGTTTCTCTGTTTACAGAACTGTTTTCTTAGATTCAGAATTTGTCTACTTGGCATTCATTAATCACAGGACCAAACAAACAGTTTTTTCCTCTCTCTTGCATGTATTTTTAAATGCAACACTATCTGCACATTGTTAAAATTCGGAAAATTCTTGTGAAAAGGATGTTACCAAGAGCCATTTTTAATGATTGTGTAGTTATTGTGTATGCAGAACTCATACTGTAGTCCCCCAAAGTGACCTGGCTCCCTGATCACCGAGCTGCAATAGCCATTGTTGAGGCAATGGTGAAAGAGTGGAGCAGTGGCCAGGGTTGGTGGAGGGAGGGCGGCAAGAATGGGCTGCACTGCTTGTGAAGCCTGCCCTTCTGGCCCAGGCCTGAGGCATGTGAGCCAAGGCCAAGACGACCCAGGGTACACCAGCCTGTCACACCACTGTGGGCCAGCCTGGCCCCAGTGCAAATGCCTACTTCACACAGCACTGCACCACAGACCTCAAACTCTGGCTTCCTGATGAGCATCAGGAAAGTGGAAGTTGGGTAGACCTGAATGGAGACTGGAGGACTAACAAGTCTTTTTTTTTTTTTTCTTCAAACTCTCACTAGTATAAATTTGGGCAATGGCCATTGACCCAAGTTCTATATAAACGTCTAGACCAGCACAAGCAGCAACCCCTCTCACCTTGTGAGAGCTCTTTTCTTCTCATATGAATAAATCCTAATATTTTACATTCATTCTTCCTCATCTGTAAATGTCATTCTTCAAATCCACAAGAACCCACAAAGAAGAAATTGGCAGTGAGTTTCTGGGTCTGCTGCAACACCACAGAAAAGCATAGCCTGACATTAAGAGCCACAACACACCCCTGAATGGCAGCGAGGAACTGCAGTGAAGGCTTTGCCAGATGTGACCCTCAGAGCGGATGCTGGCAGGATCCCCTTCCTTGATTAGCTTTGAACACTACAACAGGCTTTCTCAGCTGTAGAAGCCAGCAGCTTGTGCAGACCAGACCTACCTGTAGAAGTGGAGAGACTCCAGTTTGAAAACCACAAACCCTAACCTGCATATTCTCTTCCTGCCCAATGGGGATGTCCCTCACCTAATTATTCCTTATACTTTACACAAAACTCATAGTGTCCATTACTTTATTCTTGTCTTCCTCTCTTTCTACACACACCTTCTCCTTGCATGGGCTCCCTGACTCCATTTGTGTGGTTGCTGAGTGTGCCCTTCTACTTCAATATCTGTAAGTAATAGAAACTTTGTATCTTGTGCATCCTGATTATTGAAGGAGTGCTTTCAGTCTGAAAGATCCCAAATTAAAACACTAACATCAGATCCTACAAAAAGAAAAAAGTGTGGGTTAGGGCAGTAGTGAACTGGCAGAATATAGGACTTCATATTTCCTGTGGAATATTTTAGCAAACTGGACAATACCCCCCAAATAGATTAAAACAAGTGTTGACCACATCTGTGACCCTACCATTTTTATTCTAGG